GAGGAGATTGGATTTATACTCTGCCCTTCACTTGGAGTCTCAGAGCCACTTACAAACTCCTTTCCCTCCCCCTCCCCACAACAGACACCCTGTAAGGTGGGTGGGGCTGAGAGAGCTCTGACACAAACGGCTCTTTCAGGAACAGCTGTGCCAGAGTTTGTGACTGACCCAAGGTCACACCACCAGCTACAAGTGGAGGAGTGGGGGAATCAAACCCGGTTCTCCCAGATTAGAGTCTGCACACTTAATCACTACACCAAACTGGCTCTCTGGACACCCGTCTCCTCCTGTGGCCCAGGCAGTGTGACTCTTCCTCCCCGGCGCCCTCCTCAGCCCTTGGGAACATCCCTCACTCACGGAGGCCTGTCTCCCCCTTTTTGCCCCAACCACATCCAGCAGGGTGGGACGGCCTGCCTTCCTCCTCTCTGTGCCCCCCACTCGGAAGTCGCTACCAGAGCCAAGCCCCTGCCCCCCCCCGTCCTCTGGGGTATGCTCATCCTAGTGAGCAGGGAGGTGGTGTTCATGGTATTCCTGGGGCAGTGTGAGCCTGACCTGGCTGAGTCTGGGACTGTGGCTGGCCCTGAAGAAGCATCCTCCTCTGGTGGTTCCGGTCTGATCTGGCTGATGGGTCCCAGAAGTTGGGATAGGGGGGGGGCCTGCTTGTGCCCCGGGGGCTTCCTCTTGTCCTCCGTGCTTGGGATTCTGGACCGTCCTGGGGAATTCTGAGAATCTCAGAGGCACCCCTGCCAATGTTCCCTCTAAGCTGTGGAGTCTCATGAACAAAAATTCCACTTTGTGAGCGACTGGCATTAAAGTTCTGAGCAAGCGATTTGGCTACTGTATAAATGAGTTTGCTCTGGAGCCATCCTTCCGGAGCTAAGAAAAAAAATATGTGAGCTGGAGACTAAAAAACTGTGAGTGAGCTCACACTAACTCAGCTTAGAGGGAACACCAACCCCTGCTGGAATCTCTGTTTATTTATTATTATTTATTTTATTGATTGGATTTTTATCCTGCCCTCCCAAAGGCTCAGGGCGGCTCACATACGGCAAAGCCGAGATATAAAATACAATAAAAGATATAGTAAAATACAACATTTTAAACCACAGTAAACTCCATCCTATAACACGGTGCTGTGAGTCTCAGAGGTACCTTCGCTGGAGTCTCTGTTCAGGCCTCGAATGTGAGGCTCCTTGAAGCATCAGAAAGGATCTGTTTCCAGTGATCTGAGCGTGAGCAGAGTGCCTTGCTGCCAGCCCCGCTTGTTGTGTACGGCGTCTTTACGAGGCTCACCCAGAAGACCTCAGCGCAGGAGAGACACAGTCCACTTCCCAGCCAGGACGCTGCAGGACTGCTCGGCCTATACAAACCGTTTTGAGAACTGGCCAGGACAATCCCGGGCATGACGGACAAAGAAGAGCTTCAGTTAAGAACTATCCTGGTCCTTTGTATTCAAGCCAAGCTATCCGACCTGAGGCTCAGTGTTAAATGTTATGCCATTAATCTAAGGAAACTGTGGTTTTTTTGTTGCTCGCGTGTATTTTGTTCCAAGACACTGAAAGGCTGGACAACACTTTCAATTACCATGTCAGATTACACAGGGAAGCCATTGAAATTCACAAACAAACATAATTTCAAAAGGAAAGAAGGGAGTTTAAAAATAAATACGACATGGCTTCCTGTCCTGAAAAACAAAAAGCTTGCCATCAGACAATAGCACTACAGATAAGATTAGAATTTCAACAACCTCCTCAGGAAACAAAAGAACCTCCTCAGGGAAAAAAAAGAACCTCCTCAGGAAACAAAAGAACTGGCAACAGAGGTTATCCACCCGCTGCTAAAACACCCAGAAACTGCCAGAAGAAAACTGATCCCAGAGCAGCTCTTTCCTTTCAGAATAACTGCTGGGTCCCTAAGGAAATGGCTGCGCTGGTCCATAGAGTTCAGTGCGGAGACGCTCCAACGTGGAGGAAGGACTCCTTAAATCAGAACCCCCCACTCCCAGAGAGGCCAAAGAGGGAGTGCAGTCCTCGACTGACGCTTAGAGCAGGGAATCTTGGTTCCTTGCCAGCTCCTGTGTTGCCAGTCAAGAAACCAAGGGGGGTTCCTAACAGAAAAGTGTTATGGAGATTCATTCAGGTCTTGCGACCCATAAATGCATACGTGCAACTGTTGCTGCACATCTCTAAATCTCGGAAGGCTGTGTTAAAGTGCCATCTAGTAGTCAACATGTCTCTGTTTTGCCGACTTCTGAAAATGGGAGGTTGGAGCGGTGGTCCACCATGAATCCAGCAACCCTTCCCTCTAGTGACTCAGTGTGTGAAAATGTACATGACTGCACGCTCGTGGTTCAAGAGGTTTCAACCAGCCCTGGAAGAGAATGGGTCAGTAGGCCAATTGGGCAATCCCCTTAAATACAAATCTCTAAATTTTCAATCCACTCAAATCACAGCTGGGGAGAGTTCAAAGAGTTCAGAGCCTAAAAAGAATAGAAAACGGCCAACTCTAAAAATCTAATTATAAAACATACAAAAATATACATGTATTTATTAAACACAAACTATACAATCCTTAAAGGATCCTTACAGGTGCTTTCAAATGCTGCAGATGGTTACAAGCAAGGGAATTTGTTTTGGATTTATGCCCTCAACACTGTAACACCATATGGTTTGAACGAACAAGTAGATTGGTGTGTAGTATAATTTGTTGTTAGTAGTATCTCTATGTATGATTTAACATCTGGTTAGGTATCTGTAATGTTTCTTTAAATGGCTTTCACTATGTCATGCTTTATGTGTATGGGTAATTACATGACTAGTTGCAGGCACCTGAAAGGATTACATCATCCTTTAAGGATTGTATAATCCTGAATCTACTATATAGGTCCAACACTTTTTTGAGCAACACTGCTTTTAACTTAAGGAATATTTCATTGGGAACATTTGGCTATACAATTTTAGGAGAATATATAGTTGACCAGAGGTGACTATTTTTATTTTTCTTTGTTTATTTTTATTTTTAGTAATCAGCTGTTTAATGCATTGATTCATACACTTTTATTGTTTCTAGAGACGTACTACTGGACATGTGATTGCACTGGAGGTTTCATTTGTATTTCTGCCCAGTGGTTAAACTTTGGAAGTAAGTTAATGTTTTTTTTGTTTGATAATATATTTACAATATATTTATTAGTTGTAGTATATGTGTCTAATCTTCTATTTCTTTTATGTTTGCAGCAATTGTTTTCTGGTCTTTATTTCATATTTTGTATATGTTTGATTGTATATATTTTTACATGTTAGCCAGAATGTTCCATTTGTATTAGACCTCTGAGGAAGGCCTGTTAAGGCCGAAACGCATTAGATCTATTTAATCAGCCTTTGTATTTTTATATTTGTATATGAGGTATGAATGGGCCCTTATTTGTTATTTTAATTTGTGTTTAATAAATACATGTATATTTTTGTATGTTTTATAATTAGATTTTTAGAGTTGGCCCTTTTCTATTCTTGACTAACATTTTTAGGTTCTGAATTCTAGGTTTTGGGTTCAGGTTTTTTTCCCCCTTTTCCCTTTTTTGTCCTTAGAGAGTTCAAAGAGCCCACAAAGCACAGAAAACACAAAGTCTAATCACCTGATACAAACAAGAATATCTCAATCTAGGGATGCCAACTGCCTGGAGGGGAAAAGTGTGCTGTCCCTTTAACAGAGGCTTTATGGGATGTCATTTAGCTTTTCCACACACATTAAGTCTCTGAGAATTAGGAAGGAAATTTTTTTCCCCTTCAGGCCTGTTACTAACTCTAATACAGATACATCTCCAAAATAAAGGAAGGAGACAGAAAGAGAATTTTGTCAGTTGGCACCATTAAAGTGCAATCTCAGTGGAGGAATTCAAGGGGGGGGCTCTGAGGAGGAAGACGTGGAGAAAGGTACGCCTTGGCCCAGGGCTCGGTCCAGGTCATTCCTAGCGCACGCACAGGTGGTGCCAATAGTGGTGTTCAGAGAAGGAGGAGGGAATCCTACTTCTTCCTCCTGATTTTCTCTGTGAGAATCTAAAGGTGGTATGGGAAGGACAACTTGTATTGGGGAATCTGTGCCCCACAAGGTTCACCTGCCAACTCCATGGATACTGGTCCATGTCCACAATACTGGTTGTTGGGGGGGGAGGGGGGGTCTGGCTCCATGGAAATTACTGAGATGTTGGGTTAGGGGACACAACCTTTCCCTTTCAACCCAAATTAATCCTACTGCCAGAATGATTTGGGTTTCAATGTTGTGAGACCCCCAAGAAGCTCACAGCAGGCTGGACTGGGAAGGGATGAGGGTTCAGAAATGCCTCTCTAGAACGGCTTGTCAGATAAAAATGCTTGTGGTACCGGCTGGTCACACTATACTTACGCCACTAGGAGAGAGGATGTAGATATCTCTTACCCTCTCAACTTGTCTATTCCTTCATAGAATTTGGGAAAGGAGCTATTTTTGCCAGTTTTGAAGATGCCAGAGTTAGAATGGCAGATAACCAGAAATAGCACGTTTCACAGGGGTGGGGGAAAACTGAAAAGTCCTTTCTTTGTGTAACTACTTTCTCAGCCTTTATGAACTTCCAGCACCAGGGCCAGATATAGGAAAGTTTCACCCTTGTATGGATTCTCTGAGGAACATGAAGATTGAACCTGTGCCTCAAGCACTTGTTGTACATTGAACATTGAGAAGGTTCCTTTCCCAGGAGAAGTCCATGATGTTAAAGATCAGCTGATTCTTCATGTAGCAGAAGCCATTCCCGATTCTTCCATTCTTCCCTGTGGGATCTTTTTGAGGTTTTGAACACAGTTAAAGCTCCTTCCACATTCTGAATATTTATCATATTTCTTCCACAGTAGCATAAGGTTTCAATATAGATTCAAGCTTCTTACAGCATTTTTTACCTTTTCAATCAACATATCATCTGTTGTTGACTTTTAGGTGTGAAATAGAGGAATAGCTCTCTTCAGGGCTACACAGTTACATTGTTTCTCCTTCTGTGGGTTCCTCGTTGCAGTAGAAGAATGTCACTCTCAGTAAATCTCTTTCCACGCTTTGAGCATTCAAAAGGTTTCTCCCCTATATGGGTTCTTCAGTGCACTTGATTGCCACTGGTACTGAATTTCTTTTCACACTCTGAGACGTCAAAAGGTTTCTCCGTTTTGTGGGTTCTCTGATGCTGTTGAAGAGGGCCACTCTGACTGAATCTCTTTTCACACTCTGAGCATTCGAAAAGTTTCTTTCCTGTGTGGGTTCTCTGATGCCGTTGAAGATGGGCAATCCGACCGAATCTCTTTCCACACTCGGAGCAAGAAAAAGGTTTCTCCCCTGTGTGGGTTCTCTGATGCTCTTGAAGATTGCCACTTCGACTGAATCTCTTTCCACACTCTGAGCATTCAAAAGGTTTCTCCCCTGTGTGGGTTCTCTGATGCCGTTGAAGATGGGCAATCTGATTGAATCTCTTTCCACACTCGGAGCATTCAAAAGGTTTCTCCCCTGTGTGGGTTCTCTGATGCTCTCCAAGACTGCCACTTCGACTGAATCTCTTTCCACACACTGAGCATTCAAAAGGTTTCTCCCCTGTGTGGGTTCTTTTATGTAGTTGAAGATCACCACTTCGACTGAATCTCTTTCCACACTCTGAGCATTCAAAAGGTTTCTCCCCTGTGTGGGTTCTACGATGTAGTTGAAGATCACCACTTCGACTGAATCTCTTTCCACACTCTGAGCATTGAAAAGGTTTCTCCCCTGTGTGGGTTCTTTGATGACACTGAAGACTGACATTGTGACTGAATCTCTTTCCACACTCTGAGCATTCAAATGGTTTCTCCCCTGTGTGGGTTCTCTGATGCCACTGAAGAGTGCCACTCAAACTGAATCGCTTTCCACACTCTGAGCATTCAAAAGGTTTCTCCCCTGTGTGGGTTCTCTGATGCTGTTGAAGATGGGCAATCCGAACGAATCTCTAGGTTTCTCCCCTGTGTGGGTTCTTTGATGACACTGAAGACTGACATTGTGACTGAATCTCTTTCCACACTCTGAGCATTCAAAAGGTTTCTCCCCTGTGTGGGTTCTCTGATGACACTGAAGACTGACATTGCGACTGAATCTCTTTCCACACTCTGAGCATTGAAAAGGTTTCTCCCCTGTGTGGGTTCTTTGATGACACTGAAGACTGACATTGTGACTGAATCTCTTTCCACACTCTGAGCATTCAAAAGGTTTCTCCCCTGTGTGGGTTCTCTGATGCTCTTGAAGATTGCCACTTCGACTGAATCTCTTTCCACACTCTGTGCATTCGAAAGGATTCTCCCCTGTGTGGGTTCTTCGATGCCATTGAAAACTGCCACTCCGACTAAATCTCTTTCCACACTCTGAACATTCAAATGGTTTCTTCCCTGTGTGGGATCTTATATGCTCTTGAAGAGTGCCACTCTGACTGAATCTCTTTCCACAGTCTGAGCATTCAAAACGTTTCTCCCCTGTGTGGGTTCTCTGATGCTCTTGAAGATTGCCACTCCGACTGAATCTCTTTCCACAGTCTGAGCATTGAAAAAGTTTCTCCCCTGTGTGGGTTCTTAGATACTCTTGAAGACTGCCACTCTGACTGAATCTCTTTCTGCATGTTGAACATTTCAAAGGTTTCTTCCATGTGTGGGTTTTCAGATGCTTTGGAAGATTCCTACTCACACTGCATTTCTTTCCAGATACTGAATATTCAACAGGTTTCTCCCCTGTGCGGGTTCTCAGATGCTGTTTAAGATTCCGCTGCACACTGAATCTCTTTCCACACTCTGAGCATTCCAATGTTATTCTTTGGTGTACAAAGAGCTGCGATCTAGTTCTGAAGTACTTTTCACACCTAATGGATTTACTTGCTTTTATTATCCTGTGCTTTGGAATACCTACATTATGCTGTCTTTCATCTCTCTTCTCAACCTTATGACCAACTTTCTTTCTCATCGGTCTGCGTGGAGTCGTGACATTTTCTTTCAAGTCTTCATTTTTAACTTCATCTGGCATTTGCTGATGAACTTCCTCATCCTCTTCCTTCCTCTGATTATTTTCTGCTGGAATAAAGACAGAGATCCTGTTAGCACCTGGGAGGGCTGGGAAGCTCCAATTGCATCTATGTGACTGTGGTAAAAAAGGATTGATGAAAGCCCTTCGGCCTTGTCCACCTTGGCTGATCTTAACCAATCCTCCACCTTTGCCCAGAATATCTAGTATTAACTATAACTCAGCCCCTCAAGTGCCATGGCTGAGCACTTTCCCAGAAGGAGCTTCTGAGTCTCCAGATTTCAGGCCCTTCCTCCTTCCCCAGAGGGCTGTATGATTGTACAAAATGTCGCTCGGAAGTGAATCAGATATCCTGGGGGAAACTTCTATTTAAGGCAGGAAGCTTGCTAGAACCAGAGCTGACCTAGCTGAGCTCTGAGAAGGGGCACGAGATAGAGCTCCTATAGGGGTGAGTGTTTTTTATTTACTTTCAGCTGAGATGATTTAGCTGAGAGGGTACTGTGTGGGGAGACTTTGTTTGGGAGTGTGTGGTTGAGTTGTGAGTTGTTGCAGAGTCCTGGTTGCTGAGACAGAGTGTGAAAGGGTCATTGTTTGACTGTAATTGAGTGCCTGGGTGAATTTGAATAGCTGCTGGCCACACTCTCTCCTGGGGGAAAGTTCTATTTAAGGCAGGAAGCCTCTGGCACGAGCCGAAGGGTGAGGCTCTTGGCCTGTGGCTCTTAGCCTAGGGACTCTGTAAGAAGCCCAGGAAGAGCCAGAAAGCCGGGGCCCTTGTCTCCTTGGGTTCCCAGTAAGGTAGGTAGACTTCTATAAGGAGAACCACATAAATACAAAGAGTTTTAAAAGGGGGATTATATAAAATTATTATTTAAAAGCAATTATGAAGCCAGAATGCCAGCTGGGGGATGGGGGCTATCCAGTGTTTTGCATGGAGTGTCACATCTGCCCACTAGACAGAAGTCTTGGGTGTGTGCTTAGTGCAAGGAGCTCCTGGTTCTCGGACAACGAGTTTGCTCCCTTGAGGCCAAGGTGGCAGACCTGGAGAAGCAGAGACAGTCAGTTAGGTGCAAGGAGAAGACTCTCGGGGACTTGTTAGATATGTCCTACTCTGAATATGGCAGCCCTGCCGCTGTCAGGGTGCATGAGGGTCGAGGGGAAACAGGGCACCATGCTGTGGATAATGGGAATGTGCCCTCAGAAGAGACCTCTTCTTCAGCTGGTGAACAGATATCCTTTTGCACCTAGGAACTCTCCCTGGGCAGGGAGGGAGGGGGGCTCTTGGTAGTTGGTGATTTGATCCTTAGGCAGGTAGACAGCTGGGTGGCGAACCCACATACTGATCGAATGGTGACTTGCCTGCCTGGTGTGAAGGTAGTGGACATTACATGTGTTCTAGATAGGGTGGTAGATAGTGCTGGGGAGGAGCCTGTGGTCGTGGTACATGTTGGCACCAACGATGTGGGAAAATGCAGTTGTGAGTTCTTGGAGGAAAACTTTAGGCTGCTAGGCAGGAAACTCAAGGCCAGGACCTCCAAGGTAGCTTTCTCGGTAGTGCTACCTGTTCCACTTGCAGGGCCGGAGAGACAGGCACAGATCAGGAGTCTCAATGCGTGGATGAGACGATGGTGTAGGGGGGAAGGGTTCAAGTTTGTTAGGCACTGGGATGCTTTTTGGAAGAAGAGGGAGCTGTACAAAAGGGATGGTCTTCACTTGTCCCGAGAAGGAACCAGGCTGCTGGCGCTTAAAATCACATTTGTATAAATAGGGAGTTGCCAAAAAAGACTGACACAACCACAGAAATCCTAGAAGTGTCCAAGGTAAAATCGGGGAACTGGAATGCTTGGTGTTGGGGGAGGAAATAGACATTGTGGGTATTTCAGAAACTTTGTGGGATGAGGAAAATCAGTGGGATATGATGATTCCTGGTTATAAATTATATCGGAATTATATGTACTATTCTCCAAGGCATAACTCTTGGTCACGGATCGATATGGTTTGGATATCTTCCAAGATGATAAGTGATCTGTTAGACTGTAAAATTTTGCCAAGTACATTTGCCGATCATAATCCCCTTTTATTAACTTTAAAAGAAGAACAAAAGAAAAGTAGATGGACCATGAATTTAGGACTTCTTAGATATCAGGCATTTGTAAAAAAAAACTAAGGAAGAAATTTTGGATTTCTTTAAAAGAAACACCCAACCGGAAACATCGATTGAGGTAATATGGGACACATTTAAAGCATTCATGAGAGGTTGGTTTATTAACCAGAATGCATAGAAGAAAAAGCAGGCTAAGAAGAAATATGAGTTGTTAGTGAAACAACTTAAGCTAGTAGAAAATAAAATGAAAAATGTTACCTTTTTTTTCTTGTAATCTATATTTCTCTTCATTCTTTTCATTTCTTAGCTTAATAATAATATGTTTTTCTCTTTCTTTCCTAAGCTTATAGGATAACCATCTATTAGGTTTATTTACATTTATAAATAGATTATAAAATTAAATTAAATCTTCTTCATCACAAAATGAATTTACTTTTGAATCATGGAATAGCATAGAAAATTGAATATACTAAGCAATATTATTTTGAAAATGTAAATAAACCTAATAGATAGTTATCCTATAAGATTAGGAAAGAAAGAGAAAAGAAGAAATATGAAGAGAAATATAGATTACAAGAACTTAAAAATATAGTGGAAAAATATTATAAAGAGCTATACCAGCAAGACATACAAGATAAACACCAAATTAAAGATTACCTGAAAAAAGGAAACTATACTAAATTTAATGGCCAACACAAGAAGAGTTTAAATGAATTGATCACAATGTGTGAGATCGTAGAAGCAATTAAGAGACAAAAAAGGGAAAAAGCGCCTGGTCCGGATGGCCTTCTGGTGGAATTATATCAAATATTTGAAGAACAGATAGGTAAGCCACTAAAAGAACTGCTTCAAAAGATAGGAAAAGCAGAAAAAATACCTGGGTTGTGGAACCATGCATTAATTACTCTAATACATAAACCTAACTCTGACGGAAGTGAAATTAAAAACTATAGGCCTATATCTTTATTAAATACTCATTATAAAATATTTGCTAGCATTTTAGCCTATAGACTTAAAAGGTGTTGTCCCAAACTATCCACCAAGATCAAATGGGTTTTCTGGCAAAAACACAAATGAAGAATAATTTACGTATAGTTATTGATGCATCAGAACATTCTGAAAAAGAGCTTGTTCTAATGTTTCTTGATGCAGAGAAAGCTTTTGATAATTTGTCGTGGGAATTTTTATTGCAGTAATTGGAGAGATCTAGTTGTGGTCAGTACTTTTTGACTATGATCAAAGCTATTTATAAAAAAACAATATGCTAAAATTCTGATAAACGGGGACACAACTAACAATATAGAAATTCAGAAAGGTTCGAGACCAGGTTGCCCGCTATCACCATTATTGTTTATTTTTGTGTTAAAATCTTTGAATAACTCAGTATGAGGAAATGTTCAGATAAATGGTTTAAAAACAAAAGGAGAAGAATTTAAATTATTGGCTTTTGCGGACAATCCGTTATTTATATTAGAGAATCCTAAAACATCTATTACTTTCCTGTTGGATGCGATTAAAACCTATGGTCAAGTAGCAGGCCTTAAAATAAATTATAAGAAAACGAAGCTTCTGTCGAAAAACTGTCTACTGGATACTTTACAGGAAATCCAAAAAACAACATCAATGGAATTAGTGAAAAATGTCAAATATCTAGGCATAAATTTATCTAATAAATGTAGTTCTTTAATAGAGGATAACTGTTAGATGAAATGAAAAATGATCTTTTAAGATGGAAAGATATACCTTTATCTATTATGGGTAAAATAGCAGTGATAAAAATGAATATATTGTCCAGATTCTTATTCTTAGCCCAAAATATTCCCATTCTAAAAAAACAATTTTTTTGAGGAGTTGGATAAAATTACTAAAAAAATTTATATGGCACCCTAAAAGAGCAAGAATAAAGTGGAAAATATTACAAGATAAAAAGGAAAAAGGGGGGAGGAATGTATCTAACTGGTTTTTATACTACAAAGCGACTACCTTAGTTTGGATAAGTAGCTGAATCGTTTTGATAAATTGTTAGTGGATAACACCATTTTGTATTTTACTAGCAGTTCAGTAGTACTGGAACTCTCTTGTTGTCTTTGGTACGGGC